ATGATGAACAACCCAGCGGGTTTTCTTCCTATTGGGGAGTGTTGTACATGCTGCTATGGCGGTATGTTCACTCACAGGATGTGTGGCGCTGCCCAATAAACTCGCCCCTCGGGGCAAAATTTAAAAATTTAAAAATTTAGAGCCCGAGCATCTGTCAGAGGTAGAGAACAGCCCATCTGTCAGTCCAAGACCAAACAACATGGAAATTACAGCAAATGAAGTAATTTGCAACTTAAGAATCTAGATAAGTTGAGAGCCTAGGATCAGTTAAAGTCGTCCCGTGGATACTAAAGAAGTGCCGCTGAAGCTCTGAGTCAATCTCTTTGAACGGAGAGGGGAGAACTACCAGACTGATGGAAGACTGCTAATTACACACAGAACTCACAATAGCGTGATGCATCAATGAACAAATCCACAAGGGCCGTGACGAGGATAGCTCAGTCGATTAAGGCAGCGTCTGGGATGATCTCGGACGTAGGTTCGAATCCTCGTCACGGCCCTTGTGGATTTGCTCAAGACTGTTAATGTTATATTCATATATAAGAAAAAGAGATAGGCGGCATAAACAAACTACTGGCTGTTGTCATCGACATTAACACCTCGTAAGGATGGCAGGGCGTGTCTAAGACACCTGATGGTGTTCTATAACAAGATGTCAATGATCACACACAGAAGCAAGTAAGGTGTACCGCATTTTAATGGACTGCCAGAAAACCGTTAGAAGTGTTTTGCACGTGAGACTGCCTGTACACCCTTGCCACGTGAGACTGCCTGTACACCCTTGCCACGTGAGCTGTGGTAGTTGGACGTGCATTAACCTGCGCCACGGAATAGTAGAGATCAGTTTTTTTTTCAGGGATATTCCTGCGCGGGCCCTAAGCCTCTGGCTGGCCCACTGGGCGGGCCCTAAGCCTCTGGCTGGCCCACTAAGTGTTGCTTGTTTCTGTTTTACTTGGGCGGAGTATGAGTATTTATGACTCGTATGATCGCTATCACAGAGATGATAAAATAGCAAAGCATCAAGCAGAGAACTATAAGTCATAGTTCTACCACTATAAGTACTATAGGGACCCATACTGCTCAGGCAATACAATACAATTTTAGTGTCAGAGTGGTTGACAAATGGAATGCATTAGGAAGTGAAGTGGTGGAGGCTGACTCCATACACAGTTTCAAGTGTAGATATGATAGAGCCCAGTAGGCTCAGGAACCTGTACTCCTGTTGATTGACGGTTGAGAGGCGGGACCAAAGAGCCAGAGCTCAACCCCCGCAAACACAACTAGGTGAGTACAATACAATAAAGCAGGTGTGATAAGCAAGAGGATTGACAGCCATTAAAACAAACTACTGTTGACTGAAAGACGTGGCACAAGAGCTAAAGTCCGCCCTGAACTACATATAATTAATTACATACCAGTATATAAATGTGCTGGCAGGGTCGAGTGCTAGCTCCCGGGCCCCACGTTATTGGTGGTCTAGTGCAGTAACTCCCGACTGTTTAGTTCCTAGCAGTGTGGTTACCTACCTTGAGGTGCTTCCGGGGCTTAGCGTCCCCGCGGCCCGGTCGTCGACCAGGCCTCCTGGTTGCCGGACTGATCAACCAGGCTGTTGGACGCGGCTGCTCGCAGCCTGTGTGTACTACTGCAACTATGGCATTACCTTCTGCTCTCTCTCACTCTTCTCTAATTAATTCCATTTACTCACTGTCCTTATGTGTAACATGTTCTTTACTGACACTGCTGTAAAGAACATGGAGAACACGGGCACACAGGGGAGATGTGCTCCCGTGTTCTGCCACTGTGATGTGTGCCCGTGTTCCACCACTGTGATGTGTGCCTGTGTTCTACCACTGTGATGTGTGCCCCGTGTTCTACCACTGTGATGTGTGCCCCGTGTTCTACCACTGTGATGTGTACCCGTGTTCTACCACTGTGATGTGTGCCTGTGTTCTACCACTGTGATGTGTACCCGTGTTCTACCACTGTGATGTGTGCCCCGTGTTCTACCACTGTGATGTGTGCCCGTGTTCTACCACTGTGATGTGTGCCCGTGTTCTACCACTGTGATGTGTGCCCCGTGTTCTACCACTGTGATGTGTGCCCCGTGTTCTACCACTGTGATGTGTGCCCGTGTTCTACCACTGCGATGTGTGCCCGTGTTCCACCATTGTGATGTGTGCCCGTGTTCTACCACTGTGATGTGTGCCCGTGTTCTACCACTGTGATGTGTCCCCGTGTTCTACCACTGTGATGTGTGCCCCGTGTTCTACCACAGGGATGTGTGCCCGTGTTCTACCACTGTGATGTGTGCCCGTGTTCCACCACTGTGATGTGTGCCCCATGTTCTACCACAGGGATGTGTGCCCGTGTTCTACCACTGTGATGTGTGCCCCGTGTTCTACCACAGGGATGTGTGCCCCGTGTTCTACCACAGGGATGTGTGCCCCGTGTTCTACCACTGTGATGTGTGCCCCGTGTTCCACCACTGTGATGTGTGCCCGTGTTCCACCACTGTGATGTGTGCCCGTGTTCCACCACTGTGATGTGTGCCCGTGTTCTACCACTGTGATGTGTGCCCGTGTTCCACCACTGTGATGTGTGCCCGTGTTCTACCACTGGGATGTGTGCCTGTGTTCCACCACTGTGATGTGTGCCCGTGTTCTACCACTGTGATGTGTGCCCGTGTTCTACCACTGGGATGTGTGCCCGTGTTCTACCACTGTGATGTGTGCCCGTGTTCTACCACTGTGATGTGTGCCCGTGTTCTACCACTGTGATGTGTGCCCGTGTTCTACCACTGGGATGTGTGCCCGTGTTCTACCACTGTGATGTGTGCCCCGTGTTCCACCACTGTGATGTGTGCCCGTGTTCCACCACTGTGATGTGTGCCCGTGTTCCACCACTGTGATGTGTGCCCGTGTTCTACCACTGTGATGTGTGCCCGTGTTCCACCACTGTGATGTGTGCCCGTGTTCTACCACTGGGATGTGTGCCTGTGTTCCACCACTGTGATGTGTGCCCGTGTTCCACCACTGTGATGTGTGCCCGTGTTCTACCACTGTGATGTGTCCCCGTGTTCTATCACTGTGATGTGTGCCCCGTGTTCTACCATAGGGATGTGTGCCCGTGTTCTACCACTGTGATGTGTGCCCCGTGTTCTACCACAGGGATGTGTGCCCCGTGTTCTACCACAGGGATGTGTGCCGCGTGTTCTACCACTGTGATGTGTGCCCGTGTTCTACCACTGTGATGTGTGCCCCGTATTCTACCACTGTGATGTGTCCCCGTGTTCTACCACTGTGATGTGTGCCCGTGTTCTACCCGGCTCCACGTGTTCTCATCACAAGTCAGTAATTAAGAGTCATCACAAGTGAGAGAATGTTAAGTGTGCCGACGACGAGTCACAATAACCTGTGTGATCTGGTCATCATTAGTAAGTGTCTGGGATTCCGTCTCTCTTCAAGTACCTACCAGCGAGCATCAGAAATATTACAGGAACAACCGTGGACATCTTCAAGAGGAAACTAGATTGTTTCCTTCAAGGAGTCCTGGACCAACCGGGCTGTGGTGGGTATGTGGGCCTGCGGGCCGCTCCAAGCAACAGCCTGGTGGACCAAACTCTCACAAGTCAAGTCTGGCCTCGGGCCGGGCTTGGGGAGTAGAAGAACTCCCAGAACCCCATCAACCAGGTATCAACCAGGTGAGGTGGACCTTCCTGTGTTTCCTCATAGTTCAATCCTCGCAGCTCTGGCACCAGATTCGTTGTGTATCTTTGGACTTTTCAAGATGGGTTTTATGCTCCTGTAAGTGAGGGTCTCCAGTTGGGGCGGCACATTCCAATATAGCTCCCACCTGCGTCGTATACAATGTTCTGAAGGCCTTTCTCCTGCATTCCTAGATGTGATTTTAATATTTGAAGCTGTCATACATGCCGATGATGGTATTATATTTATGTTAGTCTCTGGTCCTTAGCTCGGGGTTATGTAAGCTTTCAGGTCTTTCTCTTTTGCTGTTTCAAGTCTGTCTCCATGCTCACTCCTCAGTTCGCATTAACATTCAGTTGTCTCACTTGAAGTCTAGTTTTCCGACCATTCCTAAGGCTTATCCAGGTCGTCCTGCATCTATGTGCAATGTTATTGTGTTCTCACTCACTTCATTCATTTTCCTTCGTTTGCAAACATTGGTATGAATGTATTACCTACATAATTTTGGTCGTTTATGTATACCAGGAATAACATAGGTCCAAATGCTGACACTTTTGGTACTCTGTGACCTCCTTGAGGTTACCTTGAGGTGCTTCCGGGGCTTAGCGTCCCCGCGGCCCGGTCGTCGACCAGACCTCCTGGTTGCTGGACTGATCAACCAGAGACCAACCTCCCTTCACTGTTAGGTCTCTGTTCGTGTCGTAACAATGTGTGTTTCCTATCAGAGAAGTACTCTCTTATCCAATTGTGCACCCTCTCAATAGACTGCTGTACGAAGGGACTTCGTACAGCAGTCTCTTGTATGGAACTGTATCACATGTCTCCTGACAGTCCACAAGGATACATTATGTTGCCTCCTGTATCGCTGTTTCCTCCAGTAGGTTCCTGGAGCAGGAGTCATCTTCTCCCAAACCAAACTGAGAGACCTGCAAATGATTCACTTCTCGAATATTTTACAGAACAAACATCAACTCCTGGACTCTAGCTTTCAGTCATCGGTTGTCTGTTGTAATGACTGCCAAGGAAGGTGTCGGGCAGGCATCAGGTCAAGGAAACATTGATGCTGGGAACCACGTCCATGTGGAGGAGTCCTCAGGCAGCAGTGTGGTGAAACTTAGGACTTTCTCTAATCAGGCTTTCTTCTTTCTCGGGTGAGGCTACCCACAGTGGGCACCTAGATATTACAGTACTGGTCTGTTATAGGTAGTGTACACTGTTATGAAGGCTTCCTTGTTCAGGTGTTTAAAGGCTTCTTTGTTCAGGTGTTTAAAGGCTTCATTGTTCATGTGTTTAAAGGCTTCATTGTTCAGGTGTTTAAAGGCTTCTTTGTTCAGGTGTTTAAAGGCTTCATTGTTCAGGTGTTTAAAGGCTTCTTTGTTCAGGTGTTTAAAGGCTTCATTGTTCAGGTGTTTAAAGGCTTCTTTGTTCAGGTGTTTAAAGGCTTCTTTGTTCAGGTGTTTAAAGGCTTCTTTGTTCAGGTGTTTAAAGGCTTCTTTGTTCAGGTGTTTAAAGTCTTCTTTGTTCAGGTGTTTAAAGGCTTCTTTGTTCAGGTGTTTAAAGGCTTCATTGTTCATGTGTTTAAAGGCTTCTTTGTTCAGGTGTTTAAAGGCTTCATTGTTCATGTGTTTAAAGGCTTCTTTGTTCAGGTGTTTAAAGGCTTCTTTGTTCAGGTGTTTAAAGGCTTCTTTGTTCAGGTGTTTAAAGGCTTCTTTGTTCAGGTGTTTAAAGGCTTCTTTGTTCAGGTGTTTAAAGGCTTATTTGTTCAGGTGTTTAAAGGCTTCATTGTTCATGTGTTTAAAGGCTTCTTTGTTCAGGTGTTTAAAGGCTTCTTTGTTCAGGTGTTTAAAGGCTTCTTTGTTCAGGTGTATAAAGGCTTCTTTGTTCAGGTGTTTAAAGGCTTCATTGTTCATGTGTTTAAAGGCTTCTTTGTTCAGGTGTTTAAAGGCTTCATTGTTCATGTGTTTAAAGGCTTCTTTGTTCAGGTGTTTAAAGGCTTCTTTGTTCAGGTGTTTAAAGGCTTCTTTGTTCAGGTGTTTAAAGGCTTCATTGTTCAGGTGTTTAAAGGCTTCATTGTTCATGTGTTTAAAGGCTTCTTTGTTCAGGTGTTTAAAGGCTTCTTTGTTCAGGTGTTTAAAGGCTTCATTGTTCATGTGTTTAAAGGCTTCTTTGTTCATGTGTTTAAAGGCTTCTTTGTTCAGGTGTTTAAAGGCTTCTTTGTTTAGGTGTTTAAAGGCTTCTTTGTTCAGGTGTTTAAAGGCTTCTTTGTTCAGGTGTTTAAAGGCTTCTTTGTTCAGGTGTTTGTACTGATCCCTGGGGTGGTAATACTGATCCTTGCGGTGGTAATACTGATCCCTGGGGTGGTAATACTGATCCTTGCGGTGGTAATACTGATCCCTGGGGTGGTAATACTGATCCCTGGGGTGGTAATACTGATCCCTGGGGTGGTAATACTGATCCCTGCGGTGGTAATACTGATCCCTGGGGTGGTAATACTGATCCCTGGGGTGGTAATACTGATCCCTGGGGTGGTAATACTGATCCCTGGGGTGGTAATACTGATCCCTGGGGTGGTAATACTGATCCCTGGGGTGGTAATACTGATCCCTGGGGTGGTAATACTGATCCCTGGGGTGGTAATACTGATCCCTGGGGTGGTAATACTGATTCCTGGGGTGGTAATACTGATCCCTGGGGTGGTAATACTGATCCCTGGGGTGGTAATACTGATCCCTGGGGTGGTATTACTGATCCCTGGGGTGGTAATACTGATCCCTGGGGTGGTAATACTGATCCCTGGGGTGGTAATACTGATCCCTGGGGTGGTAATACTGATCCCTGGGGTGGTAATACTGATCCCTGGGGTGGTAATACTGATCCCTGGGGTGGTAATACTGATCCCTGGGGTGGTAATACTGATCCCTGGGGTGGTAATACTGATCCCTGGGGTGGTATTACTGATCCCTGGGGTGGTAATACTGATCCCAGGGGTGGTAATACTGATCCCTGGGGTGGTAATACTGATCCTTGCGGTGGTAATACTGATCCCTGGGGTGGTAATACTGATCCCTGGGGTGGTAATACTGATCCCTGGGGTGGTAATACTGATACCTGGGGTGGTAATACTGATCCTTGCGGTGGAAATACTGATCCCTGGGGTGGTAATACTGATCCTTGCGGTGGTAATACTGATCCCTGGGGTGGTAATATTGATCCTTGCGGTGGTAATACTGATCCTTGCGGTGGTAATACTGATCCTTGCGGTGGTAATACTGATCCCTGGGGTGGTAATACTGATCCTTGCAGTGGTAATACTGATCCCTGGGGTGGTAATACTGATCCCTGGGGTGGTAATACTGATCCTTGGGGTGGTAATACTGATCCTTGCGGTGGTAATACTGATCCCTGGGGTGGTAATACTGATCCTTGCGGTGGTAATACTGATCCTTGCGGTGGTAATACAGATCCTTGCGGTGGTAATACTGATCCCTGGGGTGGTAATACTGATCCCTGGGGTGGTAATACTGATCCCGGGCGGTGGTAATACTGATCCTTGGGGTGGTAATACTGATCACTGGGGTGGTAATACTGATCCCTGCGGTGGTAATACTGATCCTTGCGGTGGTAATACTGATCCCTGGGGTGGTAATACTGATCCCTGGGGTGGTATTACTGATCCTTGGGGTGGTAATACTGATCCCTGGGGTGGTAATACTGATCCTTGCGGTGGTAATACTGATCCTTGCGGTGGTAATACTGATCCCTGGGGTGGTAATACTGATCCTTGCGGTGGTAATACTGATCCTTGCGGTGGTAATACTAATCCTTGCGGTGGTAATACTGATCCTTGCGGTGGTAATACTGATCCCTGGGGTGGTAATACTGATCCTTGCGGTGGTAATACTGATCCCTGGGGTGGTAATACTGATCCCTGCGGTGGTAATACTGATCCTTGCGGTGGTACTACTGATCCCTGGGGTGGTAATACTGATCCCTGGGGTGGTAATACTGATCCCTGCGGTGGTAATACTGATCCTTGCGGTGGTAATACTGATCCTTGCGGTGGTAATACTGATCCCTGGGGTGGTAATACTGATCCCTTCGGTGGTAATACTGATCCTTGCGGTGGTAATACTGATCCTTGCGGTGGTAATACTGATCCTTGCGGTGGTAATACTGATCCTTGCGGTGGTAATACTGATCCCTGGGGTGGTAATACTGATCCTTGCGGTGGTAATACTGATCCCTGGGGTGGTAATACTGATCCTTGCGGTGGTAATACTGATTCTTGCGGTGGTAATACTGATCCCTGGGGTGGTAATACTGATCCTTGCGGTGGTAATACTGATCCCTGGGGTGGTAATACTGATCCTTGCGGTGGTAATACTGATCCCTGGGGTGGTAATACTGATCCTTGCGGTGGTAATACTGATCCTTGCGGTGGTAATACTGATCCTTGTGGTGGTAATACTGATCCTTGCGGTGGTAATACTGATCCTTGCGGTGGTAATACTGATCCTTGCGGTGGTAATACTGATCCTTGCGGTGGTAATACTGATCCTTGTGGTGGTAATACTGATCCTTGCGGTGGTAATACTGATCCTTCCGGTGGTAATACTGATCCTTGCGGTGGTAATACTTATCCTTGCGGTGGTAATACTGATCCTTGCGGTGGTAATACTGATCCTTGCGGTGGTAATACTGATCCTTGCGGTGGTAATACTGATCCTTGCGGTGGTAATACTGATCCCTGGGGTGGTAATACTGATCCCTGCGGTGGTAATACTGATCCCTGGGGTTGTAATAATGATCCTTGTGGTGGTAATACTGATCCTTGCGGTGGTAATACTGATCCTTGCGGTGGTAATACTGATCCTTGCGGTGGTAATACTGATCCTTGTGGTGGTAATACTGATCCTTGCGGTGGTAATACTGATCCTTGCGGTGGTAATACTGATCCCTGGGGTGGTAATACTGATCCCTGCGGTGGTAATACTGATCCCTGGGGTTGTAATAATGATCCTTGCGGTGGTAATACTGATCCTTGCGGTGGTAATACTGATCCCTGGGGTGGTAATACTGATCCCTGGGGTGGTAATACTGATCCCTGGGGTGGTAATACTGATCCCTGCGGTGGTAATACTGATCCCTGGGGTTGTAATAATGATCCTTGTGGTGGTAATACTGATCCTTGCGGTGGTAATACTGATCCTTGCGGTGGTAATACTGATCCTTGCGGTGGTAATACTGATCCTTGTGGTGGTAATACTGATCCTTGCGGTGGTAATACTGATCCTTGCGGTGGTAATACTGATCCCTGGGGTGGTAATACTGATCCCTGCGGTGGTAATACTGATCCCTGGGGTTGTAATAATGATCCTTGCGGTGGTAATACTGATCCTTGCGGTGGTAATACTGATCCCTGGGGTGGTAATACTGATCCCTGGGGTGGTAATACTGATCCCTGGGGTGGTAATACTGATCCCCGGGGTGGTAATACTGATCCCTGGGGTGGTAATACTGATCCCCGGGGTGGTAATACTGATCCCCGGGGTGGTAATACTGATCCCTGGGGTGGTAATACTGATCCCCGGGGTGGTAATACTGATCCTTGCGGTGGTAATACTGATCCCTGGGGTGGTAATACTGATCCCTGGGGTGGTAATACTGATCCCTGGGGTGGTAATACTGATCCCTGGGGTGGTAATACTGATCCTTGCGGTGGTAATACTGATCCCTGCGGTGGTAATACTGATCCCTGCGGTGGTAATACTGATCCTTGCGGTGGTAATACTGATCCTTGCGGTGGTAATACTGATCCCTGCGGTGGTAATACTGATCCCTGCGGTGGTAATACTGATCCTTGCGGTGGTAATACTGATCCCTGCGGTGGTAATACTGATCCCTGCGGTGGTAATACTGATCCCTGCGGTGGTAATACTGATCCCTGCGTTGGTAATACTGATCCCTGCGTTGGTAATACTGATCCCTGCGGTGGTAATACTGATCCCTGCGTTGGTAATACTGATCCCTGCGTTGGTAATACTGATCCTTGCGGTGGTAATACTGATCCCTGCGTTGGTAATACTGATCCTTGCGGTGGTAATACTGATCCCTGCGTTGGTAATACTGATCCTTGCGGTGGTAATACTGATCCTTGCGGTGGTAATACTGATCCTTGCGGTGCTCCGCTCGTCACTCCATTCTCAGCTCTCCAACCTCACCATTGCCCTTTGTTTCGTGTCAGGTCGGTATTCTCTCACCGAGTTCAGTGCATTACTTGGTCGTGTTTCCCCAGACTGTGTAGTAGTAACCACCCGTGTGGGACACCATCGCAGGCTTTCAGGCAATATATATATATTGCCTGAATATATATTGCCTGAATATATATTGCCTGAATATATATTGCCCGCCAAACACATACCGAAACTACGACGTTGGTACAACGTTCGAACAAGTTTTAACACCTCCTAACCAGTTATAACAACCAATATAGCAAGTTGTAACAACGTTCTAATACGTCATAAACACGTTAAGCCAAGATGTAACAACTTTATTACAAGTTGTAACAAGCGGAAAATAGAGACAGTTACAGTTTGTGTTTCCAGGGATGCTATATGCTATATGCATATCCTATATGCATATATGCATATCCTATATGCATATATGCATATCCTATATGCTTCATCACTATTTATGTCCCTTATCCTTCCCCCCCATTTATGCCTTATTCCCCGTTTACGATGTACGCCTCGCCTGTTTGTTTTATGCCTCCCTCCCCCTAATGGTATCAGTCCAATACGCTCAGCACTGTCCCTTCACTTGAGAATGAACCAGGTAGGTTCGAAACGTTGTGTATATTTATAATAAGTGTAATACATTATACAGTTAATTATTTATTTTTCTTCACCTCGAACAAAGATGATATTTGGAGGAATCCTCTTCCAATTAATCGAAGTTGTAAGAGCAGTAGTCAGAGGAATAATATATATATATATATATATATATATATATATATATATATATATATATATATATATATATATATATATATATATATATATATATATATATATATACATATATACATATACGTATGATACATGGTGTGCGGACAAAAGGAAGTATGGAGCCCTAGCCACCTGTAGAACAATTACGGTCACAAAAAGTTAATCTGGTGTGCATAAAACAATTACCGGCGAGGAGGGGCCGCCGGCGACCATAG